AAAATAGTCACATTATTAAAATATGTAAATCAAAACAGTCACATTGTTATATGACTAACTAATAATTTTACTTTTAAGCTATTTCGGTAAATGTCTCCACAAAAAACAGCTGTTGCTCTGAACTGCACTGTTCCAGGAAAGCATTTGTTTGGTCAGTAACCTCAGGACACCATGGGGGATGGAAGCACTTTTGCATCGATTGAGGCTGGATATAGAATATCAGGGTTGGAAGGTACCTCAGGAGGCCATCTAGTCCAACCCCCTGCTCAAAGCAGGACCAATTCCCCAATTTTTGCCCCAGAACCCTAAATGGCCCCCCTCAAGGATTGAACTCACAACCCTGGGTTTAGCAGGCCAATGCTCAAACCACTGAGCTTTCCCTCCTGGTCAGAAAATAGCTTACACTTGTTAAAAAAATCCTTCTTTGTGTATTTAAAGTGAGATTTTGATCAAGAACCTTGCACTGAAATGGAGAAGTTCTCTGGTCTATGCAAATAGCAGCATGTGTAGTTTCTAGGATTAACTGTGAGAGCAGATAAAATTCAACCAGGTTGTTTCATTTCAAAAGAAGCACAGAAAAAAACAGAAAAGATCCAGACAGGGGAAAGAAAAATTATTAGAAGCGGCTGGGACCGAAAGCGAAACGGGCCCTGTCATTGGACACAGAGACCAGTCATATTGACTGGATATATATCACCTCATGAAGGGATGCAAAGATCTAAATTTCTAGACATTGAATGACTGCTTCTTGGAGCAGCTTCTCATAGCACTAAATCAAGAATTGCCTCTCCCTTTGTGAGTTCTAAGTGGATCATAGGATCTGGTCCAAGAGGTGAATATAGCTGAACCGTTCAGTAATAGTGACCATAATGTAATTAAATGTATCATCCTTGCAGTAGGGGAAATGCCAAAGAAACCCACTACAGTAGCATTTAACTTCAAAAAGGGGAAATATACAAAAATGAGGACCTAGATAAATGAAAATTAAAAGGAAGAGTCACAAGGATGAAATGCCTGCAAACTGCATGGAGACTATTTAATAACACAATAATAAAGGCTTGAACTAAATGTATATCCCAAATAAAAAAAAAAAACAGTACGAGGACCAAAATAATGGCACCATGGCTAAAGGCCAGAGTCAAACAGGCGGTTACAGGCAAAACGGCACCCTTTAAAAATTGGGAGTCAAATCCTAGTGAGGACTATCGAAAGGAGCATAAACTCTGGCAAGTCAAAGGTAAAAGTATAATTAGGCAGGCCAACACCGAATTTGATGAGCAACTAGCTATGGACACACAAACTAACGGCAACGCTTTCTTTAAGTACGTCACATGCAGAAAGCCTGCCACGCAGTCAGTGGGGCCACTGGATGATCGAGGTGCTAAAGGAGCACTCAAGGAAGACAAGGCTGTTGCAGAGAAGCTAAATGAATTCTTTGCATCAGTCTTCACTGCAGAGGATGTGAGGGAGATCCCCACACCTGAGCCATTCTTTTTTAGGTCACAAATATGAGGAACTGTCCCAGACTGAGGCGTCAGTAGAGGAGGTTTTGGAACAAATTGAGGAATTAAACAGCAACAAGGCACCAGGACCAGATGGTATCACCCAAGAGTTCAGATACACAGGCGTCGACTCCGTGGATGCTCCGGGGCTGGAGCACCCATGGGGAAAAACTGGTGGGTGCTGAGCACCCACTGACAGCCCTCTACCAGAACCTCGCCCTCCCCCCAATGCCTCCTGCCCGCCGGCGGGCCGCGCCGATCAGCACCTCCCCCTCCCTCCCAGCGCCTACCGCCTGCCATGGATCAGCTGTTTCGCAGCGTCAGGAGGTGCTGGTGGGGAGGGGGAAGGACCGAGGGCGCAGCATGCTCGGGGGAGGGGCTGGAACTGGGCAGGGAAGGGGCAGGGCGAGAAGGGGTGGGGGTGGGGTGCGGGTGGGAAGAAGCGGGTGGGGATAGGGCCTTGGGGGAAGGGGTGGAGGGGGGGTGAGGGCAGGGCCTGGGCGGAGCCGGAGGGAGCACCTATGCTCAGATATGAAATTTCAGAACTACTAACTGTGGTATGTAACCTATCCCTTAAATAGCCCCTGTACCGGATGACTAAAGGATAGCTAATGTCATGCGCTTTTTTAAAAAAAGGCTCCAGAGGTGATCCTGGCAATTACAAGCCGGTAAGTCTGACTTCAGTGCCAGACAAATTGGTTGAAACTATAGTAAAGAACAGAAGGATCAGACACGTGGATGAACACGATCTGTTGGGGAAGAGTCAACACGGAAATCATGCCTCCCCAATCCATGGAATTGTTTCTGGGCATCAACAAGACCGTGGACAGGGGGATCCAGTGGGCACAGCACACTTGGACTTTCAGAAAGCCTGTGACAAGGTCCCTCATCAAAGGCTCTTAAGCAAAGCTGGCAGTCATAGGCAAGAGCGAAGGTTCTCTCATGGATCAGTAACTGGTTAAAAGATAGGAAACAAAGAGTAGAAATAAATGGTCAGTTTTCACAATGGAGAGAGGTAAATACCAACGACCTGTATTGGGACTAGTCCTATTCAACAGAGTCATAAATGATCTGGGAATAGGGGTGAACAGTGAGGCAGCAAAATTGGCAGACAATACAAAATTACTCAAGATAGTTAAGTCCAAACATGACTGGGAAGAGTTACAAAGGGATCTCACAAAGCTAGGTGACTGGGCAACAAAACGGCAGATGAAATTCAGTGTTGATCAGTGCAAAGTACTGCACATTGGAAAAAATAATCGCAACTGTACATACAAAATGACGGTTTCTAAATTAGCTGTTACTGCTCAAGAAAGAGACATTGGAGTCGTCATGGATAATTCTCTGAAAACATCCAATGTGCAGCAGCAGTCAAAAAAGCGAACAGACTGTTCGGCATCATTCGGTAAAGGACAGATAATAAGGCAGAAAATATCACAATGCCACTATATAAATCCAAGGTACGCCCACGCATTGAATACAGTACGCAGTGTTGGTCGCCCCGTCTATAAAAAAAGATACATTAGAATCGGAAAAGGTGCAGAGAAGGGCAACAAAAATGATGAGGGGAATGGAACAGCTTCCATGTGAGGAGAGATTTAAAAGTTTGGGACTGTTCATCTTAGAAAAGAGATGACTCTGGGGGGTCCATAAAATCATGACTTGTGTGAAGAAAGTGAATAGGGAACTATTATTTATCCCTTCACATAACAGAAGAACCAGTGGTCACCCAATGAAATGAATAGGCAGCAGGTTTATAATACACAAGGAAGTACTTCTCCACACAACGCACAGGCAAGCTGTGGAACTTGTTGCCAGGTGATGTTGTGAAGGCCAAAAGTATAACTGGATTAAAAGAAAATTAGGTAAATTCATGGAGGATAGATCCATTGATGGCTACTACCCAAGATGGTCAGGGATGCAGCCCCATGCTCCGAGTGTCCCTAGCCTGTGATTGCCAGAAGCTGGGACTGTATGACAGGAGATGGATAACTAGATAAGTTGCCCAGTTCTGTTCACTCCCTCTGAAGCATCTGGCACTGGCCACTGTCTGGAGACAGGACACGGGGCAAGATGGACCATTGGTCTGACCCATTATGGCCGTTCTTATATTCTTAAGTTCTTATGAACAGGAGACACAGCCAAGGCATGTCAAATTATGAATGGCAAAGATACAAACGGTTACAAAAATGGATGTACAAGCCTTGCCTCTGACCTGGGTGGCTCCCGCACTTCATATACACAAACCATGGAAGGTTGAGTGTTTGGCAAATCTTTAACAATTCCATCTTTCTTGTCCTTTCTTTATATAAAGTCAAGGCGGCAAGAGCTGTGCGCAGCTGGCAGAAGCTCCTGCACATGCGGAGAAAGCTAAGGATGTACAGAAGGATGAAGCAGGTGATTAACAGTTTATTACAGTATCTGTAAAAACTTGCGGGGTTTATGTTCTGAAGTGAAGAAGAGCTCTTGCATTACAGTCTCAAGAGCATCCATCAGATTTATGTTACTATTTAGAGGAGCTCTTTGAGGTTACAATATCAGGCGATGTCCGCATGATTTATGACAGAAAAAGAACCCTTTATATTCTGACATTCAGGATCATAAGAGCCGTGGATACATCGTTATTAATCATTATTTATGCAGGTCCATTGGTATGCATGGTATTTTATCTACAGTATGAAATGGGCCAGATGCCTGTGTCTCTGAATTCTTTACATCACTTGTATGTCATGTATTTATCTCCATGTTCACTTGACTCTTGTTAATGCTAAAAAGTGTCCAGCTGTTGCAACTCCGGGTATTCAGCAAACAGTAGATTTCCATAGATACAGATAGACTGTAACTGAACGGGCTCCCCGTTCTCTTTTGTCTGCCTATATTAATGTGCAAATAAACCAGCTCAGGACAGCAACGTCAGGCTCACTCTGTGAAACACATGGCTGCTCTTGCAAAGCGATTGTACCCACACTGGCCTCTGTCCAATGTGACCAGCACAGCGCCAGATCTCTTGGTGAGGCAGCCTGCACACCACAGTACCTGACGTGCAAACAGATTCCACCATGTGAACCAAAAGGGCATCTCCGCTTTGCAAGTGGGAGGGGCTGAGCCGAATTAGGTCTTGTCTATTCAGCGGAGTCACATGCACTAGAGCTGTGATTTCTATTTTGCATAGTGCTGTTACAGCTCTCCGTTTAAAGTGCACTATGGAACATTTAGCACACACCAGCAGGATCTACACAGATCAATTCCAGCACAACACATCAGCACGCTTTAGAAATCACACTCCTGTAGTAAGCAGACAAGCCCTATTGGAGGGTCATGCCGCACTTACAGCGATTGCTGGAGCTGTGCTGAGTGGGTTACTCTTTGCTTGCCTTATGGCTGAAACACTGTGCATCTCATATAGCAAAATACCTATGTTCATCCAGGAAAATCTCCCTGTCCACTCACTGGGTGTTAGCATTCTCAGATGAGCTGTGTTCTCTGCTCTTGTCCTACCTCATTGAAAACCACTTTGCGTGGCTGTCCTGGCACAACTTTGAGAGGTCTTGTGGTACTTTTCCATGTTCTCCCGAAGAAATGATGATATGTGATGTCAAAGAGGGACAGGCGAAGCTGGTATTCAACCTCTGACAAGCTTTCTAGCACTCTCTGGAATATAAGAATAAACACCCTAAGTAGGAGCTTTAAGAGTTTCTGATCGCAGCAGCATTGAAATGTGTCTGGCAGATTAAGAACTTTGATCTTATAAAAATGGTTCTAAACAATAGTTAGTAGATAACTCTGAGTGTAGTCAAAAAGGAGAGAAAAAAAGACATTTTCTTCTGACCGTTACAGTCCAATAGCTCAAACCATACAACCCATCAACTTAGTGATGTGCCCTCACGTTCAGACAAACAGGGCTTCTCTATGCCCTGGCGTCTCACCCTGCAAGATGCTGTGTACTGATACACCAAGGAATAGCTAGCTATGAACTCAAATGCTGAGGTCATCCTACAACAGAAGGTGACTCTTTTCCCAGCAGTGAGAAATCCCAAGACTGGCAAGCAAACCTTTATGCATGTAAATTTTAAGCATCCACTTGTTTAACACATGTGAGTAGTGGACAAATTATGTAAAACATTTTCCAGAGACACTTGGACTGAAGCACTCATTTAAAAAAATTCAGTCACATTCATGTCTCTTCTGCATTTCCTGATTATTGTTATGATTTATTATTTGTAATACCGTAGCCTCTAGGAACCCAAATCAATGATAAGGGTCCCAATGTGCTGGGTACAGTACTGACATATAATAATGACCGATCCTTCCCCAGATTACTTCCAATCTACATGGCAGGCAGACAAGTGCAGTGCGGATGAATAGGAAGCCGAGATATGAAAATTAAGAGTTGAGCAGGAGTCACAGCTGATCATTTGCCTAACCAATGCCAGATGGGAGTGATCTGGCCTCGGGACATCACAGCAGAAATACGTTTTAAGCAGGGATTTTAAAAAGGAGAAGACGTGATCCAGTTTTACTGGCACAAAATTTTACAGAATACAAATCTCAAAACTGGATTTGTGAGTATTCATGTCAGAAGTGCTTGGATGCTTATCCAGTCATGGAATAGAAACAATACCATATGGTTTTTCTGGTTAACTATAACTAACCAAGAAAGTTTATACAGCAAGTGAATCAAGTCATCACAGAAAACTTTGCAAACAATCCACAGAGTTAAATAAAATCATACAAAAAATTGTTGAATGATTTTAAACTCCCCTCTCCTCTCCTCATCCCCAAAAAACACAAATTATATTGGGTACCTATCATGCTTAACCAGTAACCATTTTATTTGGAATAGTTCCACAATTTTTTGGCTCACTAGTATTCTCCAAAACTCTTGTAGTTCTTTATATTTATAAGAACGTATGAACAGCCATACTGGGTCAGATCAATGGTCAATCTAGCCCAGTGTCCTGTCTTCTAACAGTGGCCCGTGCCAGATGCCTCAGAGGGAATGAAGCAATTTATTCAGTGCTCCATCCCTTATTGCAGAGTGAAGAACAGACCACAAGTGACGTTTTCCCAAGGGGATGTTTTTGGGGAGCAGGAGGGAATATCTGGTTTTGAAATTGCTCCCTCCAAGACCTATTCTGTGAACTGGAGCCTCTTTCAGACTTGAATTTCGAAAGTGAATTTTACTTAAAGGGTTTTTTTCTGAGAGCTTCTGAGGTCAGTGTTTGATTATTTTACTGTCATTGATCATGAACAAATAACTGTAGCATGCCTCACAACTAAAGAGTAATAATACATTCTTTTCCTGTTACCAAGACAGTGGCTGTAGTGCTGAAAAGGCCTGCACTGGAGAATCGCTTTAAAATCAGAGGGATTTAAAAATATATTTGGAAATTGAGAGAGATGAGATTGTGTCTTCAAGGGCTAGAGCCCACAAAGGGATGCACCCAGAGAGATCCATTGTTCCTTAACATGGTGCGAGTGTAAGTGTTTGCAATCAATTACATTACTCCGAAGATCCTGGACTGTTGGTCAGAGAGGAGTTGTTCTCTCATATCGAAAGTCCCCCAAAAAATTACATTAATTTGCACGAGACTTTACATTGCTGACAACACAGGATTTGCCTGATCAGATCCAGAAACCTGTCTCCAAGAATGGCCAATACCTAATGCCCAGGAAAAAGTGAAAATGCCACAGAATGCACCTGGAAAATTGTGCCAGTCTGCAGAAGACAGGGTGAAAGGACCTTCCACACACTTCTTGGATCCAGCCTAAATCTCAGTAGTCACTGTGGAATTTTACTCAAAGGAGAGAATGTCAACAAGAGAAGGGTATGAAAGCTACACTCCCACAAGGCAGACAGAATATTTCTTTACCTGCTTAATTAAATTCCCCTCAACATACTTCAGGACACACTGAAATGCCATTGATTCCCTCGGGAGATGTCGTCTCCTTTGGGAGTGTGGAGGAACAGTCAGATTTTGCACAAAAATCCTTTGCCATTCACTCATCTTGCTGCTTAGAAGGTCACCTCTTCCTCTAGGCATCTGCTATGGCAAATGTTCATCTAGAAAATAAAACTCATTTCAGAAAAATGCATGCTCAGAACCTGTTATCTTAAAACTGGCATGAGAACACTCCAAAGCCTTTAAAAAAGCACAGATTTACTATCCAAATTATAAGCTGATTATAAAAAATGTTTTATTGGAATATCCTCCACCCTCAAAGGCTCTGTGTTAACGCAACTCTCCTTCCCTTCCAGATGCAGAGAGCTGGACATGATTCTCTGGAGCCAGTCAGCACAGCTGTGAGCAACCGCCAGAGGTCACTCAAGTGCACTGGGTGATGCTCCATTCCTTTTGGGATGAACACTGATGGTTGAGGACTTGAGGGACGAGCTCAGTATAAACCCATGAGAGAATACCGAGGGAGGGTAGAGAACAGGGCGTTATAGGAACGGTTGCCCACTAGTCTAGCACCAGAACCAACAGTTGAGATGCTGTGCTGCACCTCCTGGAGGCATGTCACAGAAGGTGCAACACGGGCCAGGGAGAACAAGACAGTTGTACAATACCCTTGGGATCCTGGGTTCCTCCAGAGATCAAAACAACCAATGAAGTAAACGAGCAGCCACAGGGATGCGTTACTTTATGGGAGGATCCACAGTCCAGAGCACCCCAGAATCTCCACAGCCGCATGTGCTACAGAGACTTCCCAGCATGCTCTCTGTGCTGGGGCTTGTGAGGGGGGCCAGCATGGGGCTACTTACAGTAGCCCTACACCATGCCAGTGCTGGAGGAACACAGACTTTTCTAAGCCCTTTAGGACAGGCACTTTATCTTCCTTTGTGTTTGCATATCACCAAGCACAAAGTGTCAGCTGGAGTGAGCATTACCACAATATAAACAACAAACAACAAAACACTGCTTCAGATCAGAAAAACAACATGCTCATACTGTTTAAAGTAAAGCTGCCTTACTCCACTCAGGACAGGATTCTCCTGAATGTTCCACAGGCTAATTACATCCTCTGGTTTTAATGAAGAGTTTCTGAAGAGGGAAGACGAGCAATACCGTAAAAGATGATCCTACAGCTATGGCAAAGAACTGGAACGCCAGCAGCTGAAGTTCATTTCCCAGTTCTACCACAGACTCCCTGCATGGCCTTGGGGAGGTCACTCAATTTCTCTGAGCCTTAGTTCCCTATCTAGAAACAGGAACGATAACATTTCCCTAGATCACTGCGGGACTGTGAGCACAAACGAAGTGATGCCTGGCCGTCTGAGAGATTGCAGAAATGGGGGCAATACAATTAGACAGATGAGAGATCACTTGGTGCAGTCCTCTTGCATGAGACCTAATTCCTTGGGTGATAGTGCACTGGAGTGACACGTCTGCACTTGGCGCGCGGGGTGTGATTCCCAGCTGGAGGAGACATTCTTGTGCTAGCCCTCATTGAACTAGTGCGCTGAAAACAGAAGGTAGCTTTGGCTGCTGCACAAGCCCAGAGCATGTACCTAGGGTCTCTGAGGGGCACGGGCTTGTGATGGCCAGCCTGTCCCACAGATCGTACCGCTGCAGCTACATTCTACATCTCCGTGCACTAGCTCAATGAGAGCTAGCGTGAGCATGTCTCCTCCCGCTGGCAATCACACCCCTCGCTCCCAGTGTAGATGCACTCTGACTTAGCTGTCAGAAGGCAGCATCCACTGTTGCTGCTGGATGGCAACTCGCCTTATTACTAGAAATTCTGGGCAAAATTCTCATCTGCTGTCTGCACTCTGCTCTCCCTGCCCGTGACATCAAGGGGAGATCTATGCAGGTAGGAAGGATTGCTGTCCAAGGGCATGGCTACACTTACCGGGGATTGATGCTGCGGCAATCAATGCACTGGGGGTCGATTTAGCGGGTCTAGTGAAGACCCGCTAAATTGACTGCAGATCACTCTCCTGTCGACTCCAGTACGCCACTTGAACGGGAAGAGTAGCGGAGGTCAATGGGAGAGCGCATCCCGTTGATGCCACATGGTGTAGAAACCACAGTAAGTCAACCTAAGCTACATTGACTCCAGCTACGTTGTGTAACCTAGGTCGACTTACCTCCATAGTGTAGACAAAGCCCAAGAGAATTGTTGCCAGCTATATGCACCTGAGAAGAGAATTGTGCTTTCAGGAAAATCTCCATTCCAAACTTCCTCTTCTGGAAACTCTTTTGTGAAATGTAGATTCCTGGGACTATTTTTGGTTAATTTAACAAGAATTATTGTGAAGTTAGGCAGTTTTAAAGAAACTACAAGAACGTACCTTACAAGTGCTTTGAAAGTCATATGATTATCATGTGTTCAGGTGGGAACGGCATTACTGGTATCCAAGTCTAGAAGATAAGTCTGTCAAAAATAATAATAAATACATTTTATTTTTAAATTGCTTACCGCCACCGAGGGACTCGGGGCCCTGTACAACATAAAATGTCCAAAGTGGCAGCTTCCTGCAGGATTAAACATAATTTTAAAAGAATAATTAAGAGATTTTTCTGGATGACTTACTCTTCCTGGAGACTGAGCTTTCTAAGAGTATAATTAATGTATGTCAACTTTAGATGTCAAAGAGTCCTGACTGAGCCCACAGAAACTGGATTGCTAAAATTTTGACTGCTATCATAGACATGAGCAATCCATGTTTAACAGCCTTGGCAGAAGGTGTGCTCTAGGTCCTTCATTCCACATAAACCTTGCTTCCAGGAGCAATTTTATTCAGATTTCCCAAATCCCACCCATATTGCTCGGGTAACAATGGTGAAAGCACTGGGGTAGACAGGCTGACAGTGACCGCTAACATTTTAGTGACTGTACTGTAGTATTGCCAACCTCAAGAATTTTTAAGCCTCAGGAGTTTTTAAAAATAATAAATGTGGGGTGGAGGTGAGGATATTAAGCTTTCAGGGTTCGCATTTTCAAGCTTTTCTCCACTACCATCAGGGCTAGAAACCTACTTTAAATAAAAATTAAAGGTTAGATTTTCATGTAATCACATAATCTAGGATCTGGGGCTTTCAGACAAACATCGAATATTGCAAGGCTTGTGAGAAATCATAAGAGTTGGCAACCCTGGCTGTGTCATCTTTCCTTGAATATGGCTGAATGACACAGACATTAACAGGACAGCATCTAATCTGTCCTCGTCTTCCTGTCACACTGGAGCTGCACCAGAGCTCAACCGACAGGAGGAAAACGCAAGCAAATGGCCTATGCAGCTGCAGCTAATAGCATCTATCACAACTTCTGTAATGAGTGCTGGAAACAGTTTGAGGCTGTCTACGTTAACAGCTGAACTGTTTTCAGTCCCAGATAAGGAGGGCTCATTGTTGACCTCCATTGACATCATAGGCACCACTCTCATGTTTAAAGTGAAGCACAGTTACCGGTTCTGAATCCCGTGGGGTGCAACTCCCACACTCTCACGTTAGTATTAAAGAGCCACAATGAACCTAAGTGGGAAAGAAAAAGCCTCTCCTACTGGTGGGAAAAATCAGAGATGTGAGTCACAGGGGGGTTCATTAAAGTATTGCTCTCAGTTTAGCTCTCACTGCTTTGCATCATAGAATCATAGAAATGTAGATTGGAAGGGACCTGGAGAGATCATCCACCCCAGCCCACTGTGCTGAGACAGGACCAAGTATTTGCAGACCATCCCTGACATATCTAACCTGTTCTTAAAAACATTCAGTGATGCGGATTCCACAACCTACCTTGGAAGCCTGTTCCAGAGCTTAACTACCCTGAGAGTTACAAAGTTTTTCCTAATATCTAACCTAAATTTCCGTTGCTGCAGATTACGCCGATTACGTCTTGTCCTACATGAAGTGGACATGAAGAAAAATTGACCACACTCCTCTTTATTAACAGTCCTTAATGTATCTGAAGACTATTTATCAGGTTCCCCCTCTCAAATTTGTCCACAACTTTCTTTAAGTGTAGTGCCCAGAACTGGACACATTACTTCAACTGAGGCCTCACCAGTGCTGAGCAAAAAAGGACAATTACCGCTCATGTCTTACATACAACACACCTGTCAATCCACCACAGAATTATATTAGCCTTTTTCGCAACTGCATCACATTGTTGCCTCATATTCAACTTGTGATCCATTAAAACCCCAGATCCTTTTCTGCGGTAATACTGCCTAGCCAGTTATTCTCCATTTTGTCTTTGATTTTTCCTTCCTAAGTGAAATACTTTGTCCTCCTTTACTGCTGGAAATGGCCCACCTTGATTATCACTACAAAAGGTCGTCTGTCCCCCCGCCCCCCCCCCCCGCTCTCCTGCTGGTAATAGCTCACCTTACCTGATCACTCTCTTTACAGTGTGTATGGTAACACCCATTGTTTCATGTTCTCTGTGTATAAATCTCCCCACTGTATTTTCCACTGAATGCATCCGATGAAATGAGCTGTAGCTCACGAAAGCTTATGCTCAAATAAATTGGTTAGTTTCTGAGGTGCCACAAGTCCTCCTTTTCTTTTTGCGGATACAGACTAACACGGCTGTTACTCTGAAATCCTTCTTTACTGAATTTCATCTGGTCATTTCAGGCCAATTCTCCCCTGAAAGTCCAATTTAAACAAAGACAAAACTCAGCTCCACCATTTCACGCTTGACACCCAAGTCCCCAGTCTTACCCTACGTTCAAGCTGGGCACAAACGTTGGATCCACCCATGCAGCTAGCGCTCTAGGTAGCTGTACCTCAGCCATCACCCCCAGGGTATCCGGACCGGGCCCTCCGGCCCCTTAGGGAATCTGAAACCAGCTGAGCTTGGGGCTTGTTTAGGAAAGTTTTCCCCCGCTCCTGCCCTGCCCTGCCCGGTTGCTGCTGAGCCCCGATGTCTTCAGTCCGGTGATGTATTGAGTAACCCCAGCCCGCTGCTCTTCCGTTACACCGGCTTCAATCCGGAGTCGGAAGGAGGCGAATCAGGCCCACAGGGCAGAGGCTGCAGCCCCTGGGGCCTCCCCGTGCGGCCTGTGCTGGGGGGGAGCCGGGAAGCTGCTGTTAAAGCCGCCCCGAGCCGGGGCCGGGAGGAGCGGCCGGACCCAGGGAGGGGAGCCGGCAGCGCACGGGAACAGGAGAAACGGACACATTTACCTGCCACAATGTATCCATCTGCCATCTTCCCGGACTGCACCACCTGCCCCGGCCGGCGGGGGGGCGCCCCTCCACGGGCTCCCAGCGAGCCGCCTGCCCCTCTCGGCCTCCGCCAAACACAGGCCTAGGGCCGGTCCCGCAGGCCAGGGCCGGGGCCCCACCGCAGCCTCAGCCCCGTGCGGGAGGCCCGGCCCGGGGCTGGCGGAGGCCCGGATGGTTCGGCCCGGAGCTTGGCATCAGGTTACTAGGGCGATGGGACGCCGCGGGGGGGCGGCTCCACCTCTGCTCCTGCTGCAGCCGGGAGGGAGCCGGGCAGCGCCGGGGTGAGCGGGGCACGGCGCAGCTGGCGGGGGGGCGGGCTCTGGGGCAGGGATGGGGGGGTCACAGTGCCTGGGGGGAGGATGGCTGGGCGCTGGGTCCCCAGGCAGGGAAGATGCTGGGGATGGGCACCAGCCGGGAGCGGGGGGGGGGGCACCAGCCGGGAGCGGGGGGGGGCTCCAGGCAGGGAAGATGCTGGGGGGGGGGGATGGGCACCAGCCGGGAGCAGGGGGGCGGGGGGGGGGCTCCAGGCAGGGAAGATGCTGGGGATGGGGAGGGGATGGGCACCAGCCGGGAGCGGGGGGGGGGCTCCAGGCAGGGAAGATGCTGGGGGGGGGAGGGGATGGGCACCAGCCGGGAGCGGGGGCTCTGGGTCCCCAGGCAGGGAAGATGCTGGGGGGAGGGGATGGGCACCAGCCGGGAGCGGGGGGCTCTGGGTCCCCAGGCAGGGAAGATGCTGGGGGGGAGGGGATGGGCACCAGCCGGGAGCGGGGGGCTCTGGGTCCCCAGGCAGGGAAGATGCTGGGGGGAGGGGATGGGCACCAGCCGGGAGCGGGGGCTCTGGGTCCCCAGGCAGGGAAGATGCTGGGGGGAGGGGATGGGCACCAGCCGGGAGCGGGGGGCTCCAGGCAGGGAAGATGCTGGGGGAGGGGATGGGCACCAGCCGGGAGCGGGGGCTCTGGGTCCCCAGGCAGGGAAGATGCTGGGGGGAGGGGATGGGCACCAGCCGGGAGCGGAGGAGCGGGGGGGGGTCCCCAGGCAGGGAAGATGCTGGGGGGGGGTCCCCAGGCAGGGAAGATGCTGGGGGGGGGGCTCCAGGCAGGGAAGATGCTGGGGGGGGATGGGCACCAGCGGGGGGGGGGGCTCAGGCAGGGAAGATGCTGGGGGGAGGGGATGGGCACCAGCGGGGGGGGCTCCAGGCAGGGAAGATGCTGGGGGAGGGGATGGGCACCAGCGGGGGGGGCTCAGGCAGGGAAGATGCTGGGGGAGGGATGGACACCAGCCGGAGCAGGGGGCTCCAGGCAGGGAAGATGCTGGGGGGAGGGGATGGGCACCAGCCGGGAGCGGGGGGCTCTGGGTCCCCAGGCAGGGAAGATGCTGGGGGGGGGGGGCTCCAGGCAGGGAAGATGCTGGGGGGAGGGGATGGGCACCAGCCGGGAGCGGGGGAGCGGGGGGGGTCCCCAGGCAGGGAAGATGCTGGGGGGGGGGGGCTCCAGGCAGGGAAGATGCTGGGGGGAGGGGATGGGCACCAGCCGGGAGGGGGGGGGGGGGCTCCAGGCAGGGAAGATGCTGGGGGGAGGGGATGGGCACCAGCCGGGAGCGGGGGGGGGAGGCTCCGGGCAGGGAAGATGCTGGGGGGGGGGGGTCAATGCCGGACAGTGCGGGACGTGAGCGCTGCCGTAGGGGGCGCTGACGGCCTGCGGGGCCCGGGGCCTCCTTGTTCAGCTCTGTCGTAATCAAGAGGTGGCTCTCTCGGCACCCAATCAGCGCCGTCTTGGTCGCTCGTCATTTGCATGGGTGTGAGCGGCAGCGCTAAGCAGCCAATGGGAGGCCGGTGGGCGGAGTTTCTCCCCCACGAGGGCTAAGATGGTCTGAGCTGGAGGGAGCGGAGCCGCTGCCAGGTGCGGGGAGCCGCGGGGAGGGGCTGGGGCGGGAGCGGGAGCGGGAGCACGGGGCACCGGGATGGGGGCGGAGGTAGCGGGGGGCCAGGTCCCAGGGATGGGGGGGTAGCAGCTTTGGGCCGGACCATGTGGGGGTCGGTACCGGGGGGCGGTGGTAGTGGGGGGGCCGGTGGTCGGGGGCCGGGACCCCGGGATGGGGGGAGTAGCTTTGGGCCGGAGCATGGGGGGGTCGGTACCGGGGGCCGGTGGTTGGGGGTCAGGACCCCGGGATGGGGGGAGTAGCTTTGGGCCGGAGCGTGGGGGGGTCGGTAGTGGGGGGGCGGTGGTTGGGGGTCAGGACCCCGGGAAGGGGGGAGTAGCTTTGGACCGGAGCATGTGGGGGTCGGTACCGGGGGGGCGGTGGTAGTGGGGGGGCAGGACCCCGGGATGGGGGGGAGTAGCTTTGGGCCGGAGCATGTGGGGGTGGGGGGGCGGTGGTATGGGGGTCAGGACCCCGGGATGGGGGGAGTAGCTTTGGACCGGAGCATGTGGGGGTCGGTAGTGGGGGGGCGGTGGTCGGGGGTCAGGACCCCGGGATGGGGGGAGTAGCTTTGGGCCGGAGCAGCTTTGGGCCGGAGCATGTGGGGGGGGGGCGGTGGTTGGGGGTCAGGACCCCGGGATGGGGGGGAGTAGCTTTGGGCCGGAGCGTGGGGGGGGGCGGTGGTTGGGGGTCAGGACCCCGGGATGGGGGGGAGTAGCTTTGGGCCGGAGCATGTGGGGGTCGGTACCGGGGGGCGGCGGTAGTGGGGGGGCGGTGCCCGCGGTGGGGCTGTGGCGCGGGGGGGGTCTATTCTATTGTACTGGGAGTTGGGGGGCTGCTTATGACCCCCCCCCCCTCGCCAGCAGAGGCCGGGCAGGGGCGGGAGGGAGGGAGCGAGTGGGGCTGGCACCCTGGACGCGGCAGTGGGTCCTTCCCCCGGGCCCATCCCCTCCCCATAGCGCCTGGCCCAGCGCGGCGTTCCCGGGGCTGAGCGAGGGACGGGGGCGGGTGGCTCCGGTCCGAGCTGCGAGCTCAGCCTGGCCTTGCACCGTGCCCGAGCTGGGAGCTGTTCCGCCTCCGAGCCCAGCCTGGTGGCTGAGGGTGCCCCAGGGCCGTCCACCCGTGTCCCGTGGGGTGTCAGGGCTCCTGTTTTCCCTCTACTGCCCTTGTCTGAGCTTTCTGCTAAAGTGACACGTTCATCTTCCCTCCTGAGGCTCCCCGGGCACAGGAGCTGGACTGGGTGGCTTCCCGAGGTCCCTTCCAGCCCTGCATCTCTGTGACCTCTCTCCACCCCGGCCTCCAAAACAACCCCGCTTCCCACACCTCGTTTGGTATCCCATCGCTTTTACCCTTGTCAGGAATTGACTGGTTTTGCACCTGCTGATTTTTACCCTATGTGTGACCCTCGGTTGCTCACAGCTCTCAGACGCGTGTAATGCGTGAGGTGACACATCAGTGTTGCCACGGACGTCGGCGACTATCCGTTTCGTTGCCGCCTTTCGCTCAGTGCTAGGTGGGCTTTTTATGGTGAACCTTATTGTAACTCAAGCGCACAAGGGGGCAGAGTTAAGGTTGCAGTAAAAATTATAACTCATTTTTATGACTGTGGGATTAAACTCGTGTTCTTAATGCTGTGTTAATTTAAGTCTGTGTGTTAAATAATACAGATTTCAGATAGAATGCCATTCTTTAATTAAGTTCACAGATTCGCCCAAGGTCTTAGGAATGGGTGATGCAGAAGGCAAACAATGTCACTGTGAATGGAGGGAAAATGTATTCTGTGTCTGAACATTTCTTTAAAGCTATTTATCGTGTGTGAGGTAGTTGTTTCTCTTACAAGGCAAAGGAAGGCTCTCAGGAAATTAAAACATGGTGGGCCTTTTACCTGTTAGGGGAAATCAAATAACTGAGCAGCACGGGGGCCTGACACTTTGCCAGTACAACCGTTCCATAACAGTGAATGTTATTACTCTTGTTATTAAGTATTTGGATTATAGTGGCCCATCCAGGATCAAGGCCCCATTGTGCTGTGCTCTGTGCAAACATGTAAAGACAAGATCCCTGCCCTAAACAGTTTGCAGTATCAATGGTAGGCTGAAGAAGACTTATCAGGAGTAACCTGTAATTTAGTCTTAAAAAAGTCAGGGCAAGTAATAGATTCTATGTAGTGGACAAATGTATACATCAAACGATGTAAATAAAAACTTTGGAGAGGGGGTGAAAGTAATCAAATAGATACAAAGTCTATTTATTTATTATTTATTGTCGTTTACAATTTTATACATTTCAGTGTAAGATATTGCTCCTGCTCTTTGCAGTCTGTTCTACAGGGGCCAGAGGAGCATCAAAGGATTCTGATTTCAAGGTGGAACCTGTCACATTCAGACCTGACTAGCGGGATTGGCTCAGTTTACTTGGGGCTTCTTCCTGTGGTTGAAATGATTCCAGAATCTTTGCCATGCTGCCCCAGGCAGCTCACCCAGACACGTTCATTTGACACCTAGTCAGCATTGAGAAGTGGAACCAGAGAGGTGCTCAGAATTCAACAAGGCTGGTTGGAAAAGGCTTAAATGAAAAAGCTTGCTATTTTGTCTCCTAGATTCATAATTCCAAGGCCAGAAGGGACTATTGTGATCATCTAGTCTGAGCTGTATAACACAAGCCATAGACCTAAACCCCCAAGCTCTCTTCTCTCCCCAAATATACTCTGGTGGTTGCTGCTTCTCTGTATTTTGGCTTTCAGTTGAGAGCTAAGCTAGGAGACTCTATTCTTCCAGAGAAACTTTAGTTTTGTTTTTGTTTGTTTTTAAAGAAAAGAAATACCTTTATTTTCTCTTCTTATTGACTGGTTAGCAAGCCTTTGCTGTGATCACACCTATGGTAGGCGGGGTGTGTATAGTACATAAACTGCATGTCCCCTAGTCCGGCTATAAATTCCCCTTGTGGCAGGGAAAGGCTCTAACAATGGGGATGCAACGGGATGCTACACTGCTAAAAATAGCAGTGTAGGCGGAGAAGGGCTGCTTAGGGAATGAAGACATGCCCATATGGCTCTCTGCTCGCCCAAGCATTGCTTCCCCCAGCTACGCAGCGATTTTCAGCAGTGCAGTGTCCCACTGCCTTCCTGCCACTGGTACCTTTCTCTGCCTCAAGGAG